GCACACAAATCCTAATTCATCTTCAACATCTAGCAAGAAAATCCACAACATAAAAAGGTTCTTCATTCTAAATAATATTAGTTGGCAATAAACATGAAAGCATGACATACTATTAGCCTTGAACTAATTCTTAAGTGCATTGCTAAGGAACTAACAATGATGTAAGTTGGGTGGTGTGATGAAGCCTCATTTATACATAATAAGTAATGCATATTTGATATAATTACGTCTTGAGGATTTTAATATGAGTATTTAGAATAAAACTATTTCCAAGTGATTCCAAAACCATCCATAAAAATACATATATAAACCATTGATTTTTACATATTTTATTGAATCATGAGGTCTTCTATGTAATACTGATTTTACTCTACATATGAAGAAATATATATATTTACATGTAGGAAAATCCGATGACCATTATTTGAAGAGGAACAAAACCGCAAAAGGGGCAAAAATACATGGGGGCTATTGGGAAATTGGGGGAGTTGTGGAAGTATGAGAAGGGGTGATGGTCATGAGAGAAGAAAGAAAAAAAAGAGAGGACAAGGGGGGTGAACTTAGGTTTTTTTTGTCTCTCCTCTTCACACTATGTGACAGACAGTGGGCTCTCTCCTCTTCGCCTTATAGGACAAGTGGTGGGATCTTTCTTCTTCATGCTGTGTGACAAGTGGCGGGGTCTTTCCTCTTCACACCATGTGATAGGTGGTAGGGCCTCTCCTCGCTGCATCATGTGAAATGCAACAAGGTCTCTACTCTTTGTGTTGTGTGACAGAGGTGGAGCATATGAAGCCATGAGTAGAAAAGAAATTTTGGAGCCAGTTAGAGCTATGCAGGATTTGTCTCCTACACAAGCCTTCTCGATCTGCAACTCTCCACATAGACTTTTGAACTCTATTTCCTTCTCATTCTTCATTTATTTTATGAAGTCAACTTCAGTTGAGAAGGCTACTTGAACTTTACATAATACCAGACTTTCCTTGTGGATTAAACTGATTTACTATTCATTTTGAAAGGAATTTCAATAGCATATTTTAGAGATTCAATTTTGCAAATATTAAACTGCTTAAAACAGTGATAAGGGGCACATCATTCATCATTTATATCTTTATTTTCTTTCTCAAGTTTTTTTTTATAAACTTATTTCAACAATTATATTCTCATGCATAGTACAACTTATGGCTGAATTAGATAAATAGCTTTTGGATCTTTGGCCTTCGAGTTTTTCATCCTTGTTTACTTTGGGTTCAATAGATTTTTCTTTGCTCAATGAACCAATGTTTTACTATAGTTCATTAGTTTTATATAAGGACGTTTTCTTAAGAAGTTTTTACTCAAATTATTTATTCTTTATATCAAGTAAATTCTTAAGGTTTTCATTTTCATCACCTAATCTTTGAACAAAGATTTTATCATGTGTCTAGTTTTCAGAATTTGAACAAATTCTTTACAGATCTACTTTTTCTTTGTGTGATCATAAGATCATGTTTAACATTTCTAAATGCATTTTATTAATGGAGAAATTTGAGGATTATATACCTCTAAATTTTTTTCCATTAGACATCGATTTGTCTTTTCTTAATCTTCTTTATCCAAGCTAAAATCGTTCTCTTTATGTTGCCACCATGGCTTTCTTCTTGTACTTTGATTGTTTCTTTTCCAGCAAAAGGTAGTAAGCTTTGAAGTGATCTGGTTTCTTACACTCAAAGCAAAGATCATTAGGCTTTTGAAAAAACTTTTTTATACATTTCCTGCACATGATGTTTTTCTTCTTCATTAACTTATTTAGTCTTCTAGATAAGAAAATGATTTCATCTTCATCATGAAGTGATTCAACTATTTTAAAGTAATGTCCTTAATTTTATTTTTAAAAAAATCTTTTTTGGACATGTCAATCAGTCAACAATGAATGAATAATATCATCAAAAAGAATAATTCTTAAATCTTTTGATTCCTCAATCGTGGTTATTAAATCATCAATCAATCAATCATTAGGCTTTTTCTAAGTTTTTCATGCCATTTTAATTTCATTAAATCAATAAACTAGATTTTACATAGATTCTTAATCCTCCATTCAAAATAACCTATACCTATTCACCAAAATGTTGCTTTTGGTGTCCATTACCTGAGACATTTATTTATAAGTAAGTCACATGTAGTTTATCCCATATTTATTTTGATATCTCACAACTTGAAGCATGGTTAAACTTGGAGGCATTCAAAGCACTAAATGAAATATTCATGGCTTTAACATTTAGACTCCTATATCATTCATGGATGGACTCTTTTGATGTACCTCATGAGCCATTCTATATTATTTTTCAAACATTCATTCCCCAACCCATTGTATAAATCCTAACTCTAGTTTTCCAAAATACATAGTTCTATTAAACATAGGTGGTCTAGGGTTGGATGATTTAATTTTTTTTACTAGAAATAAAATTTATTACTTAAGATGTGTTAATATCTTTCTTTCAAGGTTGTTCTAATACCAATTGTTGGGACCATAGGGCAAGGAAAATACTAAGATAGGAGGTGAACTCATTTTTAAATATTTCTTGTGATTTTTTTATTTTACTTATACCTATATATGAGTATCACTAGATGTGTCAACATACATGTGCTCTTAATACTCTCTCATCAAGAACATTAGAGTTTTTATCTTAGTTTTTTTCCCTCACTTAGCCACATCTAGTCCTAGAGGAATCTTTCCTCCTATATTCATTAGTTCTCTCAAGAATTACACTGATTTTTACAGGATCAACAACCCAAAGACCTCATATTCATCTCCTCAAATACTCAACTCTTCTTGAGCCAAAATTAGCTACCAACAGTTCATGCCTTCATTCAAAACACTCGCCCCTCACCACCCAAATTATCTTAGGGTCTGATGCAGAGCCAAAGTAGAAAAGATGGAATCAATCACCTCACTAAAATCAGCTAGAAAAGATGGCATGTCATGCTAGTGTAATGGTGATACTTGTACATGTAGCAGTTTAACAAGATGACTTGAATCTTCATGTATTCAACTTTTGATTCTCAAGCATTCTCTAATAAGTAAGCATTCATCATCTTACAAGGTCCTAATTTTATGTGATCTCCAATGTTTGAAATCTTCATTTAAATACTTATCATTTTTCGGTAATAGTTAAACCTTCCAAACTTTGAATCTTGTTATTCCCTTCTCCTTTTTCACTAAAATTTGAACTAGAGTTTTTAGCTTGATGAAAATAGTTGGATGTTTAGGTTCTATCCAAATCATCACATTACTTTGACTTTTTATTCACAATGAAATTGACATGTTACCATCAATATGTTTTGGTCAAAACTTTAATATCTCTCTTTTGTTTTCATAATCTTTTGATGATTTGATCCACGAAAAATCTTGGAGAACCTATCTATCATCATTTAGAAATACTAGATACTGCATAATATGTATAATAAATAGATAAGATAATTCTCATGTATCGCTTGTAACCAGCATATACTTATCCTTTTATTGAAGGATGATTCTTCAGCTAATATTTTTTGTTGATCAAATATTCCTAACATGAAGAATTACTTAATTTTAAGGATTGATACCTTGAATTCATTTTTTAGTGATGAGATCATTAAATGAATAAAGATAATTCGTATAATAATTATTTTGAGCATATTGAATATTTGAGACATAAATAATTATTCATATTCAATATATTCATATGAATAAATTTTCAATTTTAATTATTAAAACCAAGGACATCAATATATACTATATAGGAGTGTAGTGAAATAAAGTTTTAGATACTATTAGTGCTATAGAGGAAAATTAATGTGCTATGATAGGGTAGATAAGTTATAACATACTAGTACTATAAGTGAGAAAATGATAGACCGCTTTTTGAATATATGGGGATATGTTGAGGATACAAGCATAGAATCAAGAAGTTGGATGGAGATTAAAGACTAAGCTTAGGCTTGAATATGAATTCAAGGGTACAAATCCACATGGTGTAAACAAAAAGATAAAGTGCACCATTGAATTTCCCCATTTCAAAGAAGATTAAGCCTTCCAAAGGAAATTATTTTGAGAGAATGGAAATTTGCTTCCCTAGGCATCAAGATCTAATTCACAAAATGGTGATTAAAACCAAGTCTTTCATGATTCGTAAAGAAGAGAGCTAACATCACAAACCAAGAGTCCGCCTTGTATTTGTGAATGAGAAATGAAGAAATTAGCCTTATGTTAACTACTGAACTAGTTAATTCTTAAAAATAGATAATTGTTTCTCTCTGCATGTAAAAATTCTTATGATGTGTGTACTCAAATTATGAAGATTTGTGCTGACTAGTTATAAAACCTTTTGTTAAGGAACTAAGTAGCAGTTGCAAGAAGAGAGTAAATGCATCATCTTCTCTCACGATCTTATTGGACAAGAAGAGTGAGAGAGTGAGAGAGAGAGCCTAGCGATTTAAAAGAAGGATTTGAGCATTTTCATCTTCAATAAATAGTAAAGAATGACCCAAAAATTCTTTTATTAATCATAAAAAAATCATTGTATGAATCTTAAAAACTTCTTTCAATGACTTCCCCAACTGTATTCAATGTCACAAAAACTAGGCTTCAGTATCATAAGTCGTTTGCTTTTTAAGACCTAGTGATTAGTGGGGAGATCAGTAATTATTTACAGGACTCATTTTTCTTTCTTCTATGGTTTTCTTCATTTCTTCATAACAAATTACTTCTATCTTAAAAAAAAAGAACACTAAAATAGGCACTGAACCAATTCATATCCGATGGGTGCAGACAGTATACTTCCTGGACGCCAGGTGTCCTCATCACCTGACTGTCGCACTTCTACAAATGTACGGGCCTCTCTCTCTCTCTCTCTCTCTCTCTCCGTCTATTAGGCGCAACTTATGATTTATACGCCTGAAAAAAAAGGAGCTAGGGCACTAGTTTATTAGCACATCAATGTCAGGGAGTAAATCGCAGCAAGTGCCACCACCGATCGACAAGCTCACGAAACAGGAGGCCGCTGGGTGCAAGCCATGCGGAGGGGCAGCGGCGGGTCGGAGAATGCGCCCCCGGAGATCTGGTCGAAGACCCACCGGTTGGCGGCCTCCGTGTAGTGAACGCCGTCCCATATGATCCGCCGCGAGGGGTCGGCACATGAGCACCCGAGCACCATGCGCGTACCATTCACCATCTGCTCGGCGCCGCAGCCGATCCCTGGGCTGTAATTGTACCTGCCCCCGTGGCCACAGCAGGCTACAAGTGGCTGGGTGAATCCTGTGCGGGCAGGTTGCCGGCGGCGGCGGCGGTGTTAAGGGAATCAGGCCCTGCGGAGAGCAGCCGGCGGAGGGAGGGAGACTGAGACTGACTTACCGCTCTCCGGCGGGGGATTGCTGATGAGAGAGTACTTGGCGGCGTAGACGTCGACGTACGTGAGGGCGGCAGAGGGGAGTTCCTGGCGGAGGTGCACCACGGTTGCCTTGAGCTGCTCATTGAATGCCTGCGCCACGGCGTTGTAGGGTGCGGCGCAGCCGGCTGGGTCGACCTCTTCCGGCTTCACGGGGAGCCTCTCGAGCACGTAGGCCAGGCAGCCGAAGGGCCCGGCGTTGTGGATCCAGAAGTACCTCCCGCCGTGTCCGTAGACGCTCTGCAAGGTTGCCACAGGGTAAGCGCCTCACACTGGCAACCACGAAGAGATTGACGACGCAGTGGACCTTGACCGCCGTGGCGAACTCGTTGAGGATCTGGGGGATGCCGGCCAGGACTTGCTCCACAGTCTGGTTGGAGAAGAAGGACGAGGTGAGGTCGTTCATTCCAATGTCGAAGGTGTACAGGCCGGTTGAGAAGGCGCCCTCCTCTGGGAGCAGGCGGCGGAACACAGAGCCTGCAAAGGGAGGCCGCATAGTCAGGGAAGAAGACGACGGAGGGGAGCGGATTGAGGAGTTGGTGAGGAGAAGGAGAGCACCTTGCTGGCGGGCCAGCTGTGATCTGGCCTTGAACTGGGAGAACTGCCAGGACTGCACGTCCAGGGAGAAGGGGCTGAATCCACTCTTGAAGAGGCTGGAGTTCTGCCGTCGGATGGAGGAGCCGGCGGTGGCGAAATTGGCGCCGTGGCTGAAGTTTGACCCCACGGAGTCCAGGTAAGCGTTGACGTAGGGCAGCCCCAGGTTCTCCGCTGACAAAAGACGATCACGTCAAATAAAACTAGTAAAGAACGAACCTAGCCCGTTGTTTTTCGGGCTCACTGGAGACCCTCGTTCATCCACTAGACTTGATTTAATCGTGTCGGTTGAATTCTTAATCCCACGGTGGGAGCCCGAGGAACGACAAACGGAAGGACCACCGAATAAAGGCTCATCTGACGCGCACAAGAAGTGTCGGCCTCTTTAGACATGTTCTAAAAGTGACTCTCTCTCTCTCTCTCTCTCAAGGTAGCACTGTTGTCTCTCTCCTCTGTCTAAAGATCGCACTTCGTCGGTGAGATTGGGTGGAGAAAACTGCTCTCTCTTTCTCTCTCTCATCCCAAAAGAAAGCACCGAGTTGGTGTGATCTTTGGTACAGAGGGCTGCTCTCTCTCTCTCTAACCTAGCAGAAGAGAGCGCTGAGTTCGACGGCAATCTCACCGATAAAGTCGACAATGAGCCTGCCGTCGCAGTACCGGCCGGCGGGCCGCCCGAAGAAGGTCTCCCCATTTGGCGAAGGCGCCGGCCCGAACGCCGCCGAGAGCCCGCCGGTGTCGGAGTTGGAGTCTCCGAAGTTGAACAACGCCGGGTAGTCGCACGACGCAGCCGCCGGGAAGACCACGGAGCAGAAGACCAGCAGTACGGCTCCGAACAACCTCATCGCCACCACGGCGGCGAGCACGGGGGAAAGGAAAATAGAAGAAATAGCCGGCGAGGTCTCTGGAGATGCGTGAAGACTTGTTGTCCGTTTCAGTGCATCGGGATGTGTGCCATTCTAAACCCACCCCGAACCAGGTCTGTTTTACGAGGCCCAATGAAGGTCCAGCGACCCATATATGCGCAGCCCGTCATCTTGTATACGACTCTTGAATCGAGAGAGAGAGGATTTACTCTACTGCCGTTGATTCAACATAAATTGTAGTATGTTATCTTATTAGTTCATAGTTTATAGCTAGATGTAGACTGATGTGAAAAAAATTAGGGAATATTTTGGGAATTAAATCTCTAAAAAAGTATAATAATTTATTTTATGTGAAAAAATAATATTTCTATGCCAACCTTCAAGCTATGGGTTGCACATACTAAGATAGCACAATATTCTATCTTGGATTCCCAAGCCCCAAAAGGGTCAAACTTCTTACAACAATAATGGAGCCATTTCATGATATATGAAAATCACATTTTTTTAATTAGTTTTCTTCTACTTTTATCACTAGATGTGGTTGTCATTCTTAATGCATTAAAAATGTTTCATTATTGTTCTTGGATATATGTTAACTTGAAAAATGTGATTTTGATGATGACAAATTAAGGTTCTAATAGTCATTATTGCATGTTTTAAGGTCAAATGACACCAAAATCAAGTAAAAGTAATAAGGATGACCTCTAAAGGTTGAACAAATTATGAGATTTGACTAAACATAAATAATGACTAATAAATGTTGGCAATCATTCTTAGGAACAAGAATCTATGTCCTTAGCCCCCCAATTTTTCATGAAAGGCTAATAATGGGTTATTACCTTAAACTACATTGCCACCGATTGGTACTTGAAAGCCCCAAATTTGTATAAAATTAAGTGTTTGTAAAAATAAAATAAAAATGGTAAAAAATTAAAAGGCTGGTTATAGTACGCAAAAGCCTCTATTTGCATCTGATAAAACTAATTAGAGTTGACTTTCCCTGATTACTTAAATTTTAAAAAAAATCAAGATGAGTAAATTCAACACCGTTGGATGTCCAGGGCTTTGGCTAGACCCATCAAGCCACCAAAGTCGACCTAGTAGAGGTTGTGCTTAACTCATCGCAACTCATCGACACGTCAATTACGTATGCTTTTTTAATGACATCTAGTACTATAAATACCCACAAAATGGTGAATGATTTGGTGACTAGGGAATCATATCAACAGGTTGGCATGGCATCGGTTGTATCGTCCAAGCAACAAGCGCAAGGAAGAGCGCCTAGTAATGATCTATGCCAAGCAAAGGTGAGCTAATTCTTCTACCTTTCCCCTTCAATTCTTCTTTTGCCTTCATTATGTGGTTTGAATCAGCAAGGTTTGAGGCATTCTACATGATCAACAAAGTCCGCTACCATGGAATCCTAGCAGTGATCAGTAATACTTGTGCCAATCTAGAAGATCAGGAACGTTTCCCATTAGTGTGTGCAGCCAACAACACCCAATGGGTGCTTTCCTTTCTTCTTCATACTTCTCCCAGCGATCATGGCCAACATCACCGCCAACAGGTGAGATCTACAGTGATCTACGAGATCAACACTGCCCATCAGCATGCATGACCTATGATACCCATTGGGACATCTCTAGGTCAACTTCCCTTCATTTCTTCTTCATAATACTTCTTACAATGAACTTTGCTGAATGTACTTTGTCAGGATCATTGGTGGCCGATGGCATGCACATCCCTAGCGGTGTTCGGTGAGATCTATAGATGATCGATCCATAGGTCAGGTAGTGGCCGTTGATGTGCACGCAAATGGCAAAATTTTCCATGATTTGCGGAGATCTTTGTGATTATTGGTAGCAGCCCTTGGCGATTTTCTTTTGACAATTCTTCCTACATCCACTGCCGGTCCCATCCGTAGGATCCGTCGGAAAGGGGCATCATCGGTGGTTTCGATGATGGTCGGCCACAATCATGGCGTGAATCAAGATCAAAAAATCATTGAATGTCTCATTATTTGATTTGATCCTCTATCCATCTTGGGATCAGAAACTGCAGGCTTCCCCATCTGGCACGCAGCTCGAGTGACAGTTGGGAGAGCAGCTGGTTGGGCGGCAGATGCATGGCCCTATCCTTTCTTTCAATTAGGGAATAATTGCGTGATATCCGGTGGGCCACAATTTGGAGGGGTCAGGGGAGGAGATGCGAGGGTACCGCCGCAGATGTCATTTAGTTGGGCGGAGAGGGGGTGATGATGCGGAGGGTACCGGCGCAGATGTCGGCCGCCCCATCGGAAGTTCTGCGGGCTTCCTTAGGCTTCCTTAGGCGACCTGCCAGGGGGCACCCACGAGCGAGCCTGCTATCCGCGCCTTTCCACTTTGGAGCCCCGCGGCCCCTCCTCCCTCCCCTTAGATACCCTTCTTATTGCTCTTCGCCTCCTCACTTACGCGCCGCCCCCGCTCGTCACTCCCTCTCCTCGAGTGCGTCTGCTGCTACCATGGCGGGGAAGGAAGCCCCCTCCGCTGACGACGAGTCTTTGATTGCGGGGAAGAGATCGCCGCCCTCCGTCGACGTCACTGTGGTCGCCGAGAAGGAAGCCCCAACTGCGGATGACGCCACTATGGATGCCGTCCAGAGACGCCTCATGTTCGAGGATGAGTGGGTTATTGCTCCTGACCTCCTGTCTTCTTCTTGGATCTCTTAGTTTCCGTGGGACCTTTTCGATGAGCGTGGTGAATACTTTGGCTCACCATTTAAGACTTAAGTTGCTGCCTTTTGTCTTTGGAGAATAGATTTGAAATTTTGTCCATGACGCCCTTCATTTGCTGCTATTTGTTGTTACTGAATTTGTACGTGTTGCTATTTTTTTTCCTGCGAACGTCAGGGTGTTTTTTTCCTTTCATTTCCGAATATTTCATCTTGAGGCTTTCCAAGCAAGTGTTTGCATGTTTGATGGTGTAGCTCTGCCACTCTACGCTTGTTTTTCTGGGTTAGACGTTTCAGTCGCAACCATTTTTTTCTTTGATTTTTCTCATTTCCATTCTTGTGGTTGTCCAATCAGTGGGAAATGGAGAATCTATCATTTCATTTTTCAATGCTGGGGAATTTTGGATGGTTTCGTCAACCTGTTGCGGCAGTTATTTGTTTGTTGTGTGAACGACTGTGATTGAAATCAATCCGAAAATATAAATAAAGCTGTAGCTGTTTTACAAAATTCGATAATCATGTATTAATTTTGTAAAGTTTTTCGAGCCAGTGCTATACGGAATCACATAAAGCATAGAAAATATTTCTTCCCTGAATATCGGATGTGATTTATTTTTTTGCTAGTTGTAGAATTTTCTTTGACAATCCAATATTTGAGAACTTTTTCTGTCACATCTTACAAATCTGAAAGGTTGTCAAGGACTGTTTTTCATACGATATTAAGATTTCCATTGTGTGATGATTGATATATTGCTTCTTTAAAACTTATCTACTTTATCTGCAGCTGTGCCTGGGAGAGAAAAGAGGGGCAGTTTCTGGATGACACTTAGAATGATAGAAGATGGTTCTTGTAATATGAAATAATAGCTTTTATGGGTGAAGATCATTTTTTTCTGAAGAGATAAGATGGCATTGATGAAAGCCGTTCAAAAAATTGTCCAGAAACTTTATGCATCCTTTGCATCATGCGAGTATTGTAATTGCCTTTATCTTCATGAAGATTGCCTTATGGACGTAGAATACAATTTAAAAATTCTGCTTTATCAAATGATTCTATACTATCCATAGTTTGAATGTTGACGTGATATAGCTTTCCTGCATTCAATCCTCAAAAGAATCACACATAGTATGCAAAAAAGCTATGATATTTTGATCCATCCCAAAACTACCTCAATGATAATTTTTTCCTGTAGAATGCTTTGATGCGTTATCTAATTTAGTAGTTTTTTTATCTTAGAAAGGTAATGTGAGATTTGACATTTTTATGCTTTTTCGGGTAATATTATAGCATATCCACCAATTATATTTTAAGGGATTCGTGTTCAAAAGAATCTTAGTTTCCATGAATGAACTGTTTGCATGATAATGATTCACAGTTTAGCTTTTCTTGTGCCTTTTATGAATCTTGAACCCAACATAGGAATGTAGAGTGAATTCAATGGCAACATACACATACAGGACAGTGGATGACTGCTAGCAAGGTGTTTGGTCTGGTCCATCAAAATTTATTAAGAGAGTCGTGGATATGACTCTTCCTGAAAGTTTCTCAAAGTTTATGACAAAAGCATCTTTGTACTTGGGGTTCCAAGTTAGTAACCTGAAAATTGAGCTCAGTCCCTGCATATAATAGCCCGACAAAAGTAACTTTGACCAATCAAACTATTACTTCTCAGATACTTGTTCTTTGTCGGAATTGTAGGTGTAGATCTTGTGTATGAATTGTAGCTCATATAATTTAAGGCTGCATACTTGTGTTCTTTAATATTTTTAAAGCTATAACCCTATAAGTGACATTCTGATACATTTTAATTAAGAGCTTGGGATCATTTTTTCGTGTCAAATGTTCTCATTTTGGTGTCAGGTGGCTGTCATTTTTTAATGTTCTATATAAAATCCAGCATGTATGTGCTTAAGAGAAGTAAATTCTTTTCACCTTGAAAATTATTGTAATGGCGTTTTGGATCATATGGCGAATTGATTAACGATATGTATGGCCATTTTTTATGGTTTCTGCAGGTGTATACTGGTGGATGAGAATGATAATGTTGTTGGACATGACTCCAAATACAACTGTAAGTAGAAGTTTATCATTAGTAACTGATTCCGTCACAAGATTTTGTTTGCGTATATTGCTTGTAAATAACTTATCATTTTTGTTTTCTTGGTGGATTAGTTAACTGTACTTTTCAGATGGGTTTCACTTGTTTCTACTATTTACGATATTTGGACGTTTGTGTATCTTTACTCCTGTCTCTTCACTAATCTTGGCTTCCCATATTTAATTTTTCGTTAATATCTGGGCTCTGTATATTCAAATTGAGGTCAACATCTCAGTGAGATGCTAGAGTTGAAACTTTAATTAGTGCCCATTCAGATGAACATATTACAGTGTTGGACGTCTGAATTTAGATTAATGTCATGATGAGATCAAATAGTAAAAGATACTGTGTAGATTCCACGTTTTCTCCCTTGCTTCCTTTTTCTTTCTTCAGAGTGTCAATGATCAGCAGTGAGATTTTCTTTTATTGGGTGTAGTCACACTGCTTCAGTTCAATCAAGAAGACTAAAAGCAAAACAAACACTATGATTTCCCCAATAAGACACATGGTCCCCTTGGCCTTCATTTGGAAATGCGCTAAATGGTGGCCTTAGAGTATGAAGAATACAATCCTGAATATAGAAATATCTCTAAATATTATCTACCTATGTTGTTAGCTAAATATTAGGCCCTTCTTTGCAATAATGGCTTTAACATGTAATTCCTTCCTTATTTCTCCTCCTGATGTGTTTACTTCTGTCATTGTTCTTCAGGTCATTTGATGGAGAAAATTGATTCTGAGAACTTGCTTCACAGGGCCTTCAGTGTTTTCCTGTTCAACTCGAAGTATGAGCTTTTACTTCAGGTAATTATAAATGGAGATATTTTTTGTCAATACTTTATGATTTTTGAGTTTCATAGATATATCAGTAGTGGGTAATTAGAATGCCTGGTTCTTCTGTCACTTCAACTGTGAAAGAGCTTCTTCTGAGTCTCAGGTGATCCATTTGATCACAAGGTGTCTTTACTATCGTTAAGGCTTGTGTGAATGTCTTATCAGCCTACTTTTTTCGTTCTATTATTGATAATAATGTGGAATTAAGAACGTTTTATGTGGTTATTTAATCGTGTTGGACTTTGATCACACCCATGGAGCTAATGAAAATATATAAATGGACCACGGCGGTGTTACATTCAGTAGATCATATCTTCTTTATTCTCTGGATAATACCTACTGCATAAACGACCAGAAAGATTCCAAAATATTCTACTCCTCATCTCTTATTCTCCTTGTAATTGAACTCACAACAACATTACTTCGTCTTGTGGCAGCAAAGATCCGAAACAAAGGTGACATTCCCCAGAGTGTGGACTAACACCTGCTGCAGCCATCCTCTTTACCGCGATTCTGAACTCATAGAGAAGGACTTTCTTGGTATATCTCATCACTGAAATCTCTACCCTATTGTGGAAATTTAGCCACTTAAAGTAAGAGAAAATGTACTTGCTCTTGAACCAGGGGTTAGGAACGCTGCACAAAGGAAGCTACTGGATGAACTGGGCATTCAGGCTGAACACGTCCCTGTTGACCAGTTTGTCCCTGTAGGCCGCATGCTGTACAAGGCTCCCTCTGATGGAAAATGGGGGGAGCACGAGTGTATGTTCTTGAATGATTCTCATGTTCATCATTTTACACATAGAAATTTAGTTATTTAATTTTGGAATGATTCTCATAATCATCATTCTTCACATTAGATATTCAGTTATTTAATTTGGGTTTTGTTACCATGGAACGTGAATACTATATTTATGGCTCAATGAATGACTTATTTCGAATGGTTCCAAAAATAGGGAAAAAAACGATTCCATTCTCTTGCTTCTTTCATTTAATATACTTTATAGAAAACATGTCCAATGTATGTGTTTATTTTTCTTAATTGATTGTTTTGATCTATCTTTCTAAAAAAATTGTTTCCTTTTAACTTCTCTTTTACAAAAGAGGCTGCAACATTCTTTCCTAAATTGATTTTTTTGATCTTATTTTGCGACTCTAATTTAAATCATCATCAGGAATTCGTCATCATCTCCTTTCTGAAACCATTCTCTTGCTCATTTCCAGTGGATTATCTCCTCTTCACTGTCCGCGATGTCGAGGTTAATCCCAACCCTGATGAAGTTGCTGATGTCATGTATGTTGACCGGGAGAAGCTCAAAGAGCTGCTCAGGAAGGCTGACTCTAGAGAAGATGATATCAAGCTCTCCCCTTGGTTCAGGCTGGTGGTGGACAACTTCATGTTCAAGTGGTGGGACCATGTCGAGAAGGGCACCCTTGGGGAGGTTGTCGACTTGAAGACCATCCACAAGCTGACGTCGTAACCCCCCCCTCTGCTGTTTCGACAATTTCATCCCAAAAACCTGACTAGACTTGCCTTTCCCTTTAGCCGTTTACTTAACTTAAAGTTTGGGTCAATGGTGCATGTTACATCTACAAATAACTAGACTGTGAGGCTCGGATTCCTCTCCAAGCCAAATATTTGTGCTTGTTCGCTGTCAGCTTCATCTTAAATAATTGTTCTGCCTTTTATTTCGGTTGATTCTGGTTGATTCTTGTAATATCTATAGGGAAATTCAGCGAATCGACTTGATAAGAATAGATTGTTAGGCTATTACCGAAATTTCTCCATTATATAATGAACATCCTCAGAGAAGTGACTGTTATGTTAAGTTTGATTTCAAATTCTTATAACTAGGAAAGTTTTTCTTATATTCGATATGGGCATCATGTCCTTGATGCTCCATTTCTATTATGTTGCCATTTTGATGTGAGTTGTTGCAACATGATTTTTTTTTTTATCACGCATTGTTTCATATTAAATTGTGCAATAATTTAGATGTAAGTCAAAAGTAATAGATTTTCTACGAGATTTAAGCTCATTTAATCAGTCTATACAAGATTTCACCTCATGGCTTTATCTTCATATTCGAGATTTAAGTTTTGCCTAGAATCTTATGAGATGACAGATATTTGATAGCTTTTATAGAAACTATATTAAATGGGTTAATGCTTGTTCAAGTAACTTATAAGATGGAAGTGGCTTAGGTATCTTCTTTACTCATTAGGAATCTATGAAGAATTAAATTGTATTCCCTCTTTTACCTTCATAATTGAGAATTATAAAATTCTTACTCCATATGTCCATACCATTTCACTGAATTTAATATGTTAAAGTCTCCTAGAACTGCTAGATCTAAACCTTGATAACACTAAGAACACCTAATTCCTAGATGTTAATGAACTAATTTTTAGTGGCAACTTATGATTCTTGACGTAAGCTCTTTTAAAATATCACCTATAAAATGTCATAATTCATGGGCCTAGGCAGGTCAAAGTTGACTGCAACGCTTAACTACCTTCAATGATTAAGCCAAACCTAATGACAATTGTATGCCACACAAAATAAATAAAATCTCATTCTTAGCCTTTTTAAACATTTGATAGAGGTTCCAGTCATGTTGAAAAATTTGATGAAAGGAAGATGAGCTACACTTGATTTTGTTTTCTCTTCGCATCAGAAAATTGTCAAATTGATAAGACATTAATGTTGAAATAAGTTTGAGTGAAATCATTTTTTGACCAAGATTTCCCCACAACTTTTTGCATTTTGTCATTGGAACAAGTTGTAAATTTTACTCAAATTTGCATCTAATTGTCTGCAAAAGTTATTAGAAAAAAATTGAGATCCTAGAGAGGTCAAGAATGACCATTGAGGTATAGTTAACCATTTAAAAAGTTCGTATTTTTGGAGAAATTTGAGTTACAGCCTTCTCTTATTTTCTACCGTTATTTATTATTAAAGTCCTAAAAATAATCATAAATTTGAATGGTCTAAAATTAACTTGAAATATCCTGTAAATAATTGGATATCATCTGAAGTTAAACAACTAAATGTAGCCCTTATGATTTAGTGTATGTATCTGAAGTTAATGATTCTAGCATGTGTGATAAGAATCTGTTATAGGTTCAAATAGAACCATAAATACATCTTGAAATAAAGTAATTTGTTTCAAATAGAATTAATCTATATCACTCAAATAAAACATGAGTCTAAGGTAAGCATATTGCATTATCATATCAATATTTAGCTCATTACTTCAATGATATGTGATCTTCTAAAATTATTTTCTAATTAGGTTTAGTGATATTTAGCAAACCTTGACTGACTCTTTAAATAATTTAAATTTATAGAAAATAATTTTTAATAAAGATAATTGAGAAATTAATTTCAAATCATACTATCTAGTATATTGAATAAACTTACATACTAATATGTTAAATCAAATATTTATGCAAAGTTTGATGTCCAAGTCATTACGTTTCATTAGTGATATTTTTTGTAATTATTGACAATTCTATAGTCAATTTCGTAAATATTTCATCTCTGAAGGGATCGTTGTTCTTTGAGGATTCTATAGGTTTGTAAGGTTTGGCATCATCCTTGATTGATGTGTTTTATATTCATTAACCACCTAGGTTTATGAGATATGAATATTCAAATCATTTGTTGAAATTGGCTAACACTTTCTATAGTTTTTTCATCAGTTAAAAAAGAGAAATTATTAGAGAGTTAAATGAATGATGTTTTAATGATGACAAAAGGAAATAAGATGATTGAAAAGATTGAATTGTGCCTAATTCTAAATATGTTTTATATGAGGCAAAATATAAATGTTCATATATAGTTAAAAATAATTATGTTAAATATTCATATGGTAAACCATTAGAAACATTCGTGATCCATGATGTTTTATTTATTTGTTTGAACCATTTCATTGTGACAAAATATTATTTTTTTATACTTCTATGAAAATTATTATTATTTACAAAAACCATCACACTAAGAAAAAGATTGATTAAGACATGTAAATCAATGCAATTTCATGAAAAAAAATAGGGGTATGGAAGATCATTAATTCTATTATATAAAACTGACACTAAATTGTTAGCATTTAATGATTTGAATTAATTGATTGAGTTCAGACTATTTATTCTACTACATAGCTTTTTATGAATATAATTTGTCAAATATTTATAAATAATTTTAATTATTAATATTAAAATCATACTTCAAACTATTGCTCAAATTTTTTTTGAGGCAACTTGAATCAGATTTGATTCATAAATTATCATCTTAAATAGAGATGTCTTATCAACTCTCTTTTGATCTTAGTGGATCTTTATTTGGCTTGATTAAACCCATACACTTGGGATATGGACATTGTATACTAATGGAACCACATATTGGCCAATTTTTAGGATATTTGAATCATTAATAGAGATATATTATTATATTTTTAGCTGTTCAAATTTATGTTTATTTTAGGCAAAAAATACATTTTAAGATTTTGAATATACAAGAAAACTTTGGAGCTTGATTTCTCTATAAATATCATTTATTTTAATAACTAAATAGTTTAAAATGACTATCTCTATCTCTACCATGACCTCAAGTCCTCCAATGATTTTTATGTTGAAAATCTTTAGTGAACTGAGAGTTTTTTCAGTATTGGTCAATCTATACCTAAGCAATGACTCAAAAAGTTGTCTTCAAGTATACATCATCCAGTGACTCAAATTCTCTCTTAGACTACATTCATTTAGTGACACAATCCACAATTTGTCAGTACCATAAGAAAATAAAATATAGAAGTAAGTTTCACACTTCATCCCGTTCAGTAGAATTTCATAAGCATTCAAAGTTAATGCTATCACCATAGTGAAATTATTTATTATTATTTTTTGGACAAACTTATGATTAACATTTATTAATCAGTCAATGAAGATGAATCCATTAATCAATTGTTTGGCCACATAGGGTATTGAATTTAGAATTTTAACAAATATCTAAGGGAGTTGAACCTCGTAACTAATGGTTGTGATTAGAGGTTCAATCTTAGCACATTTATGAACAAGGAATGTTCTTAGAGAGTGAATTTAGGTAGGGGACTAAACTATTTTAAAAATTCATGAGTCATAGTACCATTGATTTAGGAAAATACTAGGACATAAGACTCCTTCTGAGCCCTCCCCCTTCTTGATCTAAGTGTGACCTTAAAGTTGACATCTCTTATATTGATGATTTAGAACTATGGTATCCAAAAACATGTGAATTCAATTTACTAGGCTTTAATCATGCTAACATTGCTTGAAATCAAATTGATGGAAACAAGACCAATGAAACATGTTTTTTTGTAGTGGTTTTTATTCTTGTGGTCCTATATGAAACAAGAATCCATTACTCTCAACAATTGAGGCAGAATATACAAATACTAGTTGATTTTGTGCACAAATATTTCAAATTAAATTGCAACTAAAATATTTTAATATTGACCTTAAAATACTCTAACTCGATTTGATAAGACTAGTTTAATTTTTCTATTAAAAAATATAACTATATGCTTGAGAACTAAACACATAGATCTGAAGCAACATTTTATTAAAGAACATATTATAAAAGATATGTTTAATTAAATTTATTTTATTCAAATAATCAATTAGTTTGTGTTTTTTATATGCCATTACCTAAAGAAAGATTCAATTTAATGAGAAGGGAAATTAAAATGCACAAAGAAAATTAAGTATGAGCTTATTCATTGGAGACTAAAATTAAATTCTATATTCAGTGAATGACTAATACCAATATGATAAATTGAAATAATGCTCCAAATTGAATTATACACAATTATAAGATCCTTATTGATAGATAGGTTCCCTAAGATCTCACATGGATTAAATCATCAAGAATATGAGAAAATAAAAGATATATTCAAGTTTCTAACAAAGCATCTCAATGGTGAAATGACAGCTGGTTTCGTAAAGTAGGTTAAAGTAAACATGGTGATCTAGATCAAACTTGGACATCCAACTATTCTTCATTAAGCTAAAAAACTCCAATTCAAAATTTTAATGAAAAAGGATGAGGGAATAAGGAGATTCAAATATTGTAAGGTTCAAAAGTTGTTCTCATCCATTCTAGAAAATTACAAGTATTTGAATAAGCTTCTTGAATGTTTGAGATCTGGTTAAATAGGGAAACTATTAAAGGACAAAGTCTAACTCATGAGATCAAGCACACAAATATTCAAGCAAAAAGCTCAAGCTCTTCTAGTCATATGCATCAATTAGATGCAAGAATACTGCATCCTCTTCTCTAACTGATTTTGGCAACATGATCAACTTCACTTTCATGGTTCTAGGTCTTCATCAGGCCTTTAAGGTAATTGGGTGCTAAGGGAAGAGTAGTTTGAATGAAGGCATGAGGTGTTATAGTGGCCATACTTGATTCAAGAAAGCCAGAGTTTTTGAGGAGATGAACTTT